CGGAGGGGCTGTCCCTGCAGCCCGCTCCAGGGGCGGCTCTCTGCTGCTTACGGGAGCACACGCCTTTCCTCAGCGGTTGTGCTTGTTCCTGGGCTGTGGATGGCAGTGCTTGGCCTCTGCAAACTGCTGCGGCTGAGGGACTTTACCTCTCCTTGTCCAGGCTTTTTCCGTTCCATAAAGAATGGAAACTTATGGTCAGCCTTTTTTTTTGTAATTTAATCGGAATTTAGTAGCATTAAATTCCATGATTTCCAAGCCAGTAACTGTTCCATGTTTACAGCCCCAGTGCTTGGTGTGTTGCCAACCATTTGCTGCCTGTCATCTTTTCCTGATTTGCACTCATTTTCTTCTGGTAACGCTACAGGCAAATTTCAGTTGATTTCTTTCACAGTTATTTTTAACTTCCAAACTGAACACATAATTTGGCCTCTTGGCCTTCTGTTTTGAGGGGGAATGGACAATTGAAGATACATTTTGTTCATTTTGTGATTAAGCTCATTTAGCTCATTTCCACTTTGGAACAGAATAGCTGCCTTCATGGTTTGGGGTGGGTTATTGGTGGTTTGTTGTTGCGGTGGTTGGTTGGAAACTCAAGGAGTTTTCTTTAAACATGTGTGTCTAGCTTTGAAAAGGAGAAGCTCCTCATAGACTACACCCATATTCTTTAGGTGAAAATACCAACACACCTGGATTAATGGAGGTCTGGTGAAACCCTATTCTCAGTTTTCTGTGAAGCTACAGGATGACAGAAGACAATATATGTGTGTGTGTATATATATATATGCACATATATATATTATAGTTTGTAATCTGTACTCACACTGGTAAAATCAGGATGCTGCTTGTAAGCAGTTAAGCTCACTCTATGACAGGATTTTAGCTGTTTGGCTCCAAGGTTCTTGTCTTGGTAATTTATTTTTTTGTGCTCTTCACCTTTCCCCAAGCAAGATGCACTCTTCGAGTTTCAGGCTCAAAACTAACTTTTCCTCTAGAAATACAAGTTCCACTGTTTCTTAGCACACTTTGCCATTCAAAACATACAACTGTTTGAGGATTTTAACATGATACCAAATGAGGAAAGGAAGGATAATGAACAGATTAGAAGCAGAGTGGGTTTTAGAAAGTGAGGCTGAAATATACATCTTGCATCAACTCAGTATTGACCTCGCTGGAATGAAAATGACAAGTGGACTGAGGAGTTGTCACACTGAACTGGGGCAGGTTGATGGTAGCCTGTGCCTGATGTGTGATCATATACACTGACTGTACCCTCATTGTCTTTCACTGACAGCTCAAGTCAAGGATTTTGCATGATCAGACCTTGAGTCTAATGGCCATTTGGGAAGAAAAAATAGTTTACTGGTGTTATTTATCAATATTACTGTGCATCTCTCACCTCTATGTAAAGAGAATTGTTTTCTTTTGGTTCAGGCAAATATTTTCCATTGATACTATGTAAGTAAAATACAAGAATATTTTGTATACATTTTACTACACGGCAATGGTAGGACAAACTGAGTGTTCTGCTCAGGAAAGTGTATCTCAGCAGTCATAAGGCTGGAGGGCACTTTAAGGCTCCAGGCTGGCTGTGCATCCTGCCATGGCATCAGCATCTGTGTCTGTGTGTGCTAAGCCATTTCCCAGGCCCTTTGTCTCCTCTCCTCGATGATGCTGCTGCCATGGTGAAAAACAGAAAGAAAGAACAACAGGATATTGTCCAGTTCTACTCTGTGTGCCAACTGTGACAAAATGTTGTTTTCTCCTCGGTTTGGGGATTCTTGTTGGCTTTTGCTAGTCCTGGATGAGCCTGGACACATTAAGATGCTTTAAAAATTCTTCCAGTTGGTGTGGCAACCTTGAGTTTCCCGGGTGAAGGTGATGTCCCATGCCCTGGAGCAGACGTTCCTGACCTGGGGGATGGTTCTCTGAGTCACACAGAGGAAAAGAAGCGTTGTGATGTAAAACACAACAGGAAGATGTTCAGCACGCCGTGTGCCAGGAGGACACCTGCAGAGCTGCCGCAGGGGTGGAAGTGAGCCACAGGCTGTATGGGGAGTGCTGAGTGCTGCACGGCTGCACGGAGCTGACGCCAAACTAGGGCACTATTTTTGGTCTCTGTTCTGCTTTTCTGACACCTGTAGGTGTGCGTGAAGCTCACCACAGCCTCCTGCAGCACCGCACCGAGCGAGGGAAGCGCCGCAGGGCACGGGATTGCAGTGAAGTGTTCTTGCTTAGCACACAGGACTAATTATAGCCCGGGAATATGAACTGTAAACGTGCTGGAGTTGCCAAGGCAGGAGCTGGCTGTGTGCCAGCGCTTGAATGAGGACACACCATCCCATCAGGACTCCCTGGGAGCAGCAGGAACACCGAGGAACGCACGGAGCCCCACGGAGGTAGATGGACACATGGGGGTACAGCAGAGGGTGGTAGGCGTTCAGCTGTTATTTTGGGATGGGGATGTTACCGGCTCACTCTGCTTTCAAAATAGGTTATCACTGTAGAGTGACACACTGTATGATTTTTAAGGAAAGCTTAGCTTTGATGTGGTCTCGTTAACATGCGTAAACCCAAAAAAATCTGCAACTAATGTGCAGTGTTGGCAAAAGCTTCGGTGTCTGCATGTTGTTACGGTTGTGTGGGCCACTGTCCCTTCTGGTGGGGATAAAGTCTGGTGTGAGAGGATGAGGTGAGGTGAAAAATGATAACTGAGCCAGATAATGAGTTGTGTTAAACCCACCCAGGGTAAAATGGAATCGTATATGACCCATTCTGCAATAATTTGCCCTATAGACTCCCCAGAGTGAAGGGCAGACATAGCTAATGCTTTGAAAGATAAATGGCAGAAATTTAAAGAATCTGCTTGAAGTGTGAGACGTGCTGAAGTGAAAGAAAACCACAAAGGTGAAAGAAATCGATGTACTAATTACATAATTGTGGGACTATGTAAAAAATGCCTGTGAAGGGAGAAGCTTATGCTATTTGGTTGTGAAGGCTTTGGTGGGAGTTCAGAAAGGTTGACTTGATGAAGCTGTAACTTCTGTTAAGCTGTAAGCTTTAAAAAATAACAAAATTTCCTTTATAAATGGGAATGTTCTAATATTGTTTTAATATTCTGGGGGTGTGAAAAAGTTGATATAAAGGCTATTCCATAGCCCTGGGTTTGATTTGAAGGAAGATCCATTAAAAAATAAAGTCAGTAGCTATTGAAAAGTTTGGGATTATCCTAGCTTCAAGGCACTTAGAGTCAGTGAGTTTCCAGGTTGTGTCTCCAGTTCAGGAGTGCTGTGTTAATAGTTTTATACCTTCTGGGAGGCTCTAATAAATGGTTTCTCTTGCTGGTATACAAGGCTCTTCTTTTCTCTCTTGAGGGCTGTTTGGAGTTGTAGAAGGCTCTGAGCTTTTCTATGTCTAAGAAGAGTAACTATAGAGAGATGTAAGGCAGAAACTTTCTTTTGCACCACTTTGTAAATGTTAATTGGTCAATCTGTTGTAGTTCAAACTAGTTTCTTTCAAAGCAATAAATAATTCATAAATATTGTCTAACTCTGCTTACAACCAGATCACAGATGGCTAAACATGACCTGACTTAATTGTAGACCTGTTTTTATAGCCTTTCTGTGAAGAACTTACACTGCTGTCTGTGAGTAAATATGCAGTTACTAACCCTGATTTCTGACATGAGCATACTGATTTTAAATTGATGCTACTCTCCTATCCAGGCAGGTTTAAGAATTTAACAGTCTTGGTTTAGTCTTATGAATTGCCTAGTGCTCAAAAACTGTTACAAAAACTTTGATATATTTGAATATAAATTTTAATAATAATCTCTTTGCAGGTATATTCATCAGATGCATTCTGTGATCTTTACCAGAGAACCTGCACAAGCAATTCCTTCATAAACTCACTCTAGGAACTGCGTTTTGGTCTTCCTACTGCTCGTACTCCCAGAGAAGTAATTACACTTGAGAAGACCTTATTACCTACTGAGAAATATAATGACTGAATTCCTGGTTTGTTTTAATTGGTGCAATGGTGAACAGCCCCAGCCGGTAGGTAGCTGCAATCCTTCATCAGATTTGAACTTCTGGCTTTCACTTACGTGGAAAACACTTTCACTGTCCTGTTGTTTTCATTTGTTTGGGCAAAGTAAAGCAAAAGCCAAAACAAGTCCTGTTAAACTTTCTTTGAACTAGGTGTGTTTTTCCAGAAACTTTGGCCATATGACTGTTTGCAGTTCCCAGGCCTTGTCTTTCCAACATTAAAGAAAGATTTTGCTAAAATTCAATTAGCAGTAATAAAAGTGACTTTGATCCTGTCTTACTGCGTAGTCTGAAACTTCAGCTCGGTTGCCGTGAGGTGTCATTAGGGGTCAGCATTGGCTATCTGTTTTTTTATCTCAGCTGCTTGTTTCTGTCTGAAAGCTGCTCATGTTTTCTGAAGAGAGACCTAAGATATCTTCTTTCTTACAGAAGAGGCGTCGGAGGCTGGACCGGAATATGATCGGAGAGCCCATGAACTTTGTCCACACTGCGCACGTCGGGGCAGGAGAGATGAGCACTGACTATTCATCAGTAAGTGTGCACCTCGTGGATAACAAATCCCCACTCAGTAACCTGTAGAGCAGGGAGCTAAACAAATACTAGGGACTTGTAAAACGACCTTTTTTTTAATCAATAGAATAGCAACAAAACAGAATTGTCTTCTGGTTTGTAAACATCAGATACTGTGGAAGATACAGTCAGAAAGAAGTGCTCATTTCCTCAGTATCTTTACGTATGTTGAGGACCTTTTGGGTACAGATTCTGTGGATGCACTTGATACTAGGTCTAGATAACACATCAGCTTAAAGTCAAAGCTGTGCCAGGGAGAGGAATGTAAGAATAAGTGGATTTTGGATAGCAAAACACATCTCATATGCTGACTTAAACCAGTATTTAACAATCTCAGGTTTAGTTGTTATTTCTCCCTACTACAGTTGGGACTCAGCACTGTAAGCATATGGCCCAGCTGCCTCTTCAAATTGATGCTTTTAATAATTGCTCTGGCAACCAGAATTTACAAGATGTATGTTCTAATAAACTTCTTTTCTAGGCTGTATCGATTCAGGACCACATGAAGTCTAAAGGTGGCTACACAAATGGCACCTCCTCAACTGTCGAGATATAGGAAACTGAAAGCAAGCTGAAATCTGCCCTGTCATATGAGGACATCCTGAACTGTGCTTTCATATTCTCTAAAACCTCTTTATCCTGGAGTAGGGACAGTACATGAATTATAAATAGGTTAGTACAAGCTTTGGTGTTCCTTGCACAACAGCTTCGAAGGGAATTATTGTATCCTTAAATTGGTCTGTCATGGCAGTGTTGTAGTAGCAACTGTAATTTGTCACCGTGGATGACTTCCTAGCTCTGTCTCAAAAAACCTCCCAAAGGTGTCTCGTAGGATGGGATTGGAAGTCAGTATGAATTGTCTGGGAATTTGGTCTTTTTCTCCCCTCAGGAAATGCAGAGGTTGATTTAGTTGGAAGGTGTTGCATGATTTCACTTCTTACGTGGGCTAAACTGAGTATGATCTTGTAGCTGTCATATAACTTTGGACCTGTTTTTTAGATGTTTTACAACCGAATGCATAAATCTTTGGTATTTTTTAAATGTCTTTTGATGGTGAACAAACTCTAATGTAATATAGTTAGCTGAGCCTACAAAATGCAGTTAAACTTCTGCCTTGCTGTGCTAACACTTTTGTAGCAAAAAATGGAGGTTTTGCAAACATACTGACTCTGGAATGAGGCTTAGAACACCAGATGTGTCTCAATGCCTGGGCTGCCTCCTGTCCATCCACACTCTGGTGTGACTGGAGGTGTTACTGCAGCAGAGCTAACAGCACATACCAGTTCACTTCTAGTGGTGCTACAACATGCTCACAACTGTGTGTAGTTATGCATGACTACCATTGAATCCTTCAGATCACTCTCCTTGTTACCTATCTGTAACTGTAACCACACAAGACTTTAAGGGATATCTTGCTCATCTTAATGGCTCCTTAGTTTCAAGACTGCTTGTTTTAGATGAACTGAATTCTTTCTTGCATGTGGTTTAAGTGATACAGCCATGTGAAGGACAGACATTTAAACAATATTGCAAAAGTTGCAGGAGAATATTGAATGGAAACAGTGTCTTGCAGAGTTCCAGCACTTCATAAATACTTAAATGAATATCCATAAATATTTATGCATACTCAAACTACAGCTTATTACTTAGTTCTTATTCATCTTTCTCTTGAGTGATATGACAAAACTGCTGAAGTAGAGCTAGGTTCTTCTTTTACCCAATTACTGACAGCTGTTTTCCAGCTCAAAATTCTTTATCACTACCAGTGCAGAACTTTAAGAACTCTGCTTGCTCGCATGGGATTAACTAAATACAAGTGTTTAAATTGCTGCCATATCAGCACCAGTTATGCTGGAAGTTAGTGGAACTCTTTCCTTGCTTTAAGCAGAAGATCAGTTATGAACTTTTTTTTCCATTTATAAAAGCATCTAGCTGGCAAACATTTTAACTTGTGTGATTCTGCTTGTAGCTTGTGATGCTAGACTGCTGATTTTTCTGGACTGTTAGGCTGCCTTTTCTGAGTACACTAGGGAACTGAAAACATGAAAACTAGCTCTGTGTTTGTGTATGTTCAAAAATAAACTTTCCCCCTCCCTCATATTTAATCTTTAAGGGCCAAAGAGGAAAAAGGAATGTTAATTTCTCTAAGTCAACAGCTGATCATAACCACATATGAGAACTCTAATATCCATGTCTTGCTAGATCCTTACTCTTGAATTAGAATGCATGACAAATTTTAATATATTTTAAAATTAGCATAGTTAGCTGTACATTTAGCTTTTTTAAGGCTTTCATGTTTCTCTCTTCTACCCTCAGATATATTCCAACAGCCTAGTTAAGATACAGAGTTTAAAGAAGCTAAATCCTGTATATTGATGAGGAATCATAAAGTGCACAAGTTGTTTTAAAGAACAGATTCTAATTCACCTGCCATTATATTGAGTTCATGCATTTGGTCATCCATACTACCCAGAAAAAATGGTGGTAGGGCAGCTGTCATGAAGAAACAAGTTGTGTTTCGCTAACACTGTAAGAAAACAAATTGAACAGGAATTAGGGTTTTCCCAAGACCCATTCAGTAGGTTTAAGATCAGTGGTGTAACTAGAAATAAAGGAGTTGGTGATCATGCCAGTTCTTCTCTCTAAAAATAAATCAAGAGAGAATTTGTTATTAAACCCTTATTTAGAGAAAAATCCTAGTTTTCGTCATGTAAACGAAGCAGCACTATCTGGTGCAAAACTAACCTATTTTCATCAGACTATATAGTGCTGTATAGAAACATGATGAAGTGTCACATCATTAAAATGAATTGTTTTGCTGCTGCATTAAGAGTGTTATTACTTTTACAAATCTAAACAAACACACATGTTTTAGGACTAAGGTTTTTTTGCTCTATATTTAGAAACTTTATGTAGCTGTAATCTGTCATGTAACTCAGTATAAATCTATCTGGGCTATAATAAATATGTTGAACCAGGGACTTGCACTCTTTTCATATTGTGGAAAACCTTGATACTTGCTCTGCACTGAAACTCACTGGTGAAGTGTATGGATTAGCACGGCTTGAACTTGAATTGCGCAAAATCAAATGTCTCCACTAGAGAGCACAGTTTTACACCAAGTCTCTGCTCTATGCAAGCTCTTCCTGCGTTCTGGGGTTTCATAGTTGGTTTGATGGGTTTTGAGCTTGACTGCAATAAAATACAGAAAATAAGACCAATTGATCAAACTTTTTAATCTACATTGTAGGCTGTGAAGACCTGATATCGAGACAGTCAAGAAACATTACTGCTCTGACTTGATGGCAATTTATGGTTTCTTTTTGTCCTTGGAAGTAAAATAATTTGCAAGCAGAGCAAATCAAGTCTTGTGTATGTGCTCTGGCAGAGTCTCAGCACTGTTTGCTTCCTTAAAAAACAAAGAAAAGTCGGGAAAGAGGGAGGGTGGAGTGACTGTTATTTTCATTCCTGCCTGTTTTATCCCTTGATGTCCCTGCTAGGCTTTACTGACTGTCCCGTAATGCTGCTCAAACCCATGATCAGTATATAGAAAAGATATTTGGCTTTCCACCACCTACTATGTCTTTTTACCTCCTGTATAGCAGCTGTATAACAATTATGTGCTGTCATGCTGCGTTCCAAGTTAGCTTGTAATATGATGACTTGCAGCCAGGCATGTAGTACTATTCCTTTGTATGCTCTTGCCATCTTGGACTATGAGGTGCTTCTCTAGCTTCTAGTCTGTATAGACAAAAAATTGAATAGATACCCTTAACTTTACTGTGCCAGTAAAAATAAGCACAATTAACAATGTTAAATTCCATGTTAATGAAAGTCATGAGATGTTACTAAATACAGGAACACTGAGAGAAAACGATCCAGTCTGTCTGTGAAAGACAATTACATGGCTGCTCCTGGTTATGTTTGGATTTACTTTGCTATCAGCACTGTGACATCGCCGTAAAAACCCAACAGCTGAAGATAAGAACCATCTTGTCTACCTCTCATAATCGCTGTGGAGATAGATGAGATAACTACAGGATGAAACCAGTGCTGTTTTACAGTGGTGAGTGGGTTCTTTTAAGGCTTCCAGATACTTTCTGCTTCTAAAAACTTGGTCAGTCAAGACTCTCAGGCAGTTGTTTTACTGTACTAGGAAATCCTTCAGATAAAGTTAGGAAGTTGGGGAATATGAGGTAAAAGATTCATCTTTCTTTCTAGTGTTTGTGTCTTCTTAGGAGAACAAACTCTTCAATTGGGACAGACTACCAAGAGTACTTTGGTAGTCTGGTTTAGTAGGTCATGCTTCTGGTTTATGGCCCCTGGACTTTGAATTCTAAAATGTGTAAGACAGATGAATCACATACCAAGTGTCAATGTCAAAGGTATGGAGTTCTGAAATTAATAAAATCTGGTTAATTAGATTGCAGATTGGTTTCAGGGCAAAAAACACAGGTTAACATTTTTTCTACTAAAACCAAGGCTGCTGAGAATAAAAGTTCTTCATGTTTTACAAGTGGAGACTTGCATTTTTAACTCCTTGCTATTGTAGTGCCACTCTTGCTCCGTACCTTTCTATCTTAACGCAGGGACTGGATCAACAGAGTTTAGATCCAAAGTAGCAGTTAATGCTTGAAATTAAAAATTTTAGCTGCTTACCTTTACAGCTGAAGTTCCCGTGTGCCTAAGGAGATGCTCTAAGTGGTTGGTGCTTGGACTTCTGCAGATAAACTCTTCTTTCTTCACACACAGTAATTTGTCTGGCACACAAGACGCAAGGTACTTACAGCAGTAGTTTTCCTGCTAATATTCACGTGGTTACAGTGTATATGTTAAAGGTTTCTAGTCCTGCACAGAATATGTTCTCCCTAGAAACTGACCTGCTGGACAGTTTTTTTCCACACCAGAGCCTTAAGCTATGGAGTTGCTTAAACTTTTCACCACACACAGCTCGGAGCCAGTTTTGTACTTTGCTATGTGAAAGCATTAAGTCCCCTTGTTATTGCTTAATTCTTAGCACTGCTGGGAAGGTGTCAGAGAGGCTAACAGGCTGATCAGAGTCTACGGAAAAAATGAGGTGCAGAAGTGATGGAGATGTAGAAGCCATGGAGAGGCAATGTGGTACCCGTGTATGAGGGAGGAGCAGGGAGCAGTGTTTGCATGTTGACATTTGCTATCTGCAATGCACAAGCTTTGTTGGGATCAGTTGGAAAATAAGTTCATAATTGGTATATGGAGGAAATTGGGCACTTAAATGCATGACTAAGCTGGGACTTTGAGAGACAGATTGCCAATATAACTCTATTGAATGGTAGTATCCTCTTCCTGCAGTGGTTTACAAAGCTGTTCTCAGAAAGTTTGGAGCCACCCAGAAAGCTAGTACTGGTTTCAGCAGTTGCAGACTGATGCAACATACCTGTCTGGGAGACAAGAAAGCTTTTTCTTTTGTTTTATTTTATTTTTCTGTTGTATGTGAGGCTGCAGATATTCTAAATGCTGAGGCCTGCTGCACACAATGGAACACAAACCAAAAAGAGCTTAGCATTAATACAAAATAGCAGTAGTAAAAGGGTTTTTGCCTTTGGTTCACTGTGCTGCCAAAATGTATGGGAAACTACCTAGCTCCATCTGATGTTCAGATTCCAGGTGCTGGACAGGTTGGAGTGAAATGTCAGGAAGTCTTCTCCTGCCTGAGGAAGTTTGGGTGATAGCCTCTTGGACTCCCTGCAGGCTGAGATTCCAGGACGTCACCATGGCTACACCAGATTTCCATTTATACCTTTTCTCCTGATGATATGTAGAGAATGGAAAGATGAAAGCAAACAGTGAAAGCACTTAGAGCAGGCAGGGATGTTACTGGTATGTTTTCTTATGCCTAAAAAGCTCCCAACTTGCAGTGCTTGATACTGAACTAGGGCTGCTGACTTCACCTGGGAGCTT